AAAAAATCACAATTATTTTTATAAAGATCAACAAAAATAATAAAAAAATTCTAAAGAAATATCAAACTAGAAATCTTACGTAAACCCTAAATAAATCCTAAAAAGATCATAATCAAATTTCAATCAAATTCTAAATCCTAAACCAAATCTTAATCAAATCTTAAATTAAATTATAATTAAATCTTAAATTTTAAATTTTAAATCTCAATAACTAAATTAATTTTTTTTACATATCTTAACTACTGAGTTGACAATGAACACAAAAAATTTGAAGAAGATAAAACTTACAAAATAAAAAATAAATCCTAAAATCCATATGGATGTTGATTGATCTCTTTTTCCAACCTTGATGTCAATCTTCTAACCCCATTATTTCTTAATTTTACCATTTAATAAATTTTTAAAATTTTAAAATTATTAGAAATCAAGTTTATTACTTTTGAAAATAATTTAAATTCAATTGAATTAGAAAATTGTTGTATATCATAGAAATCCTAACTAATCATTTAAACTCTAATTCTCAAAATCTTAATACTTTTGAATGTAAATAACCTTTGAAATTTTTTTTAGATTAAGATCAAATTTAAGAAATTAATTTAGCATAGCACCAATTATACGATTAAAAAATTTTATTTGTAAATCATTTGCTAATCTTACAATATTTTCTAAAGTATAAGTATGTCATATTTTCTAAAATCCAAAGTAACTTCCAAAATAATCTAGACTTTATAAAGTCTTTATAAACTCATTATAAACTCAAATTACTCAAAATTAATACCAAAAAAAGCTTTTTTTAGTTTTTTCTCAAATCCTTCTTTTTGATTTATCAAAAAAAAACTCCTAAATTGTACTAGGTGCCCAATTTTGTACTTTAGAGTCTAATTTTGATCCTGATTTAAAATTCATCCTCTCCATATATCGATTCTTGATTTTTTAAGATTATTTTTATTAAAACATACACTTAAATTTTTTTCTAGAGATGCATATATAAATTATTCTTTTTATCTACTTTGATTTAAATCATTTATGGTCTTATAAAGTTAATAGAAGTATTTTATTATAGAAAAGTAATATTATTACTTATTTAGTTTTATTACATTCTTATCTATTACCTATATTTTAAAATATTTTTCTAAAATATTTTTTTAAGCTCTTCTATAATATAATCGTTAATTCATTTTATTTTGAACCTAATGACCATGTTACAATACAATAATGTATCTACAAGTAATCAATAAGTGAAAAACTTAGCCAACAAGTTGGCCATGTATTGTATATAGTCTTTTATATCCTTACAAGTATGTAAGAAGAAACATTAATAAATAAAAGTATACAACCACTAAACTAAAGCTAACTCAAAAACTCAATTTCATATAATTAAAAATTAAATTTCAAAATTTGGTCTACTATTTCTAATTTTTAAATTTTCCTAATATTCTCAAACATAGTTTTACAACATTTTATGTACTTTTTAGTAGTAGTTAAAAATCTTAAACAGTTTCATAATCATACAAATAAAACTATCAATTTTCAACTATGCAAGAATAAAGTTATTTTATTTATATAAAAATAATAGTATGATAACATAATTTTTTATAAAAACTTATAATATTAATTATAAAAAATAAATATAAGATAATCTTTATTTTTAGATTCTTTTAGATTTAAAAAAAAATTAAAAAATTATATATTCATTAAATGACTAAAAAATAAATTAAAGCAATAAATAGGTAATTGTGGCACTAAGTTTCTTTTTCTTTGTCTTTTTATTTATTTTACAAAAAAAATTAAAAATAAATATGTAATTTTTTAAAACTCGATTTGTAATTTAATTTGATATAATCTTGTTTTTATTTTAAAAAATAATATAAATTATTTATTAGATAAATTTAATATTTAAATTAGAAGTTTTAACTTTGGTATGTGTTGGCATCGTCTAGTAAAGATTACAAACCATTATTTGTATCAATTTTGTGAATTGTCATATTTGAAACGTACTTCTTTATTTGTCAATAATGATTTCTAGTTTCAAGAAAAATTCTAATCTTATACTTAGTGGGATTTAGAATTATTAAAAATAAATAAACAAATAAATAAATAATATGAAATTAAATTTAAAATAAATCTTTTAAAATAACTACATATTTATTTTTAAAATTTTAATTTAAAAAATAATTTATTAATAAAAACTTATTATAAAAAGGTAAAATATAAAAAAAATCCAAAACCTAATGATCAAATTGATTTTATTTTTTTATATAAGATAATTTTTTTTCAAAAATAAAATAAAATAAAGAGTTTTAAGATTAGTATATTAATATAATATATTATTACTGATAGTTTAAATATATATATATATATATATATATATATATATATATATATATATATTATGCTTATTAAAAAAATCTATAACACTTTAAAATAAATGTATCTAAAAAAACTAATTATAAGATCAAATAAGATTAAATTAAAATTTTATAATTAAATCATTAATTAGAGTTTAATGTAAAAAATACATAAATGATATATTTTTTCTTAAAAATATCTTATTTTTTCAATGAAAGACATATAAGTTATTATTTAAAATAAAAATAAAATATTGATTCTATATTTAAATAAAATATATTATAATTATGATTTTTAGTAATAAATTATTTATTTTATATGATGTAAATAAATACTATAAATTTAGGAAGTTGTTAAAGCTACACCCTCTTGCCAACTTATAATTAATTTAGTAAATCCCTTGTCCTAATCCTTGTCCCCAATCTTTTGTTTCCAACATTGTCTTCTATTCCTCATCCTCCATCCCCTTCTTTGTAATCACCGCCAAGCTCTTTAATAAATCAAGTCGTGCAGATAGAGCAATTTGAAAGCTTTGCCCAAAAGACAACTGAGGAGCTCTTTATCTAGAGCTTTTTTAAGAGTAGTTCAAAGTCCTTGTCTCCTGCTTTGATGTTTGCTAAAAACTTAGGCCCATTGCTTATCACAGATTTCAACAAATATATTAAGGAAGACAACAAGGAGCTCTTCTCTTCCTTGATTAATTTTGCTGCTAGTACTATAAACCCAGGTGTATACCCATTCTTGGATGCTCAAATTGCAAACCAAAAAATAGTGGTGGTGGGAGGTTGATTAGGTTGGAGTTTCTATGAAGAGATTAGTAGGCAATTAACAAAATCATATACTGAATATGACAAAGTGTTATGACAATGCTTTATTTTGAAGAATTCTCCATGGTGACCTTGAGAGAATTAAAGCAATTGTCTTTTGCAAAATAATAGCACTGCAACTCTTTGCTGGGAATGAGAGGACGGATACTAAGTTATGGCATAAATTGAATTAATCATGAGGTAGCAAGGGAGGTGTAGTATTAATAAAATAAAAATTTGGCTTTAACAACTCCCTAAACTTAAAGTTATTTGTTATATAAAAAAAAGTATAATAAGAAGCTATTACTAATATACACATATAATCTAACAAAATATAAATATAATAATTAATAAGCATGATTTTACATATATATCTTTCTATATATATATATATATATATATATATATATATTATTCAATGTTTTAAAATTAAAAAATAAAAAACATACCCAAAATATAACTTAAAAACGAATTTTTAACTATAAATTTTTTGTAAAGAAAAAAGATTGGAATAAACTTGATTAAATATAATCTTATATTAAGTTTATTTTAATTTTAAGCATAGTTAATGTTATCAATTCCGACCTATTGTAAAAACCTAAAATTATAAAATATAAGTTAATAATATTTATTCAAAATGTATAAAACAAAACACCAACATTTGCATCATTACCTATTCATGTAGCTATGATTGGTGCTATTTATCTTATTAGCATGCAATAGTTTTATTTACATTACTTATTTGACAGAAAAATATGTGGATTTTGTCAACTTCACTTCTTAGAACAAAAAATAAGATTGAAGTTAATATATCAATTTTAATTTTTGATTTTTTGATATATTTGAAAATATATTTTATATTTTTTTGACATATCAATAATTTTATTTTATTTTATTTTTATTTAAATAAATATCCTTGGAATATTTTTTTTATTTTTTAAATTAAATGTACTTAAATGGATAGAATTGATAATATTCTAAGTAATTGTATTAATGTATTATCACATATCTTTTTGTAACAATATAAGATTATATTATATTATTATTAGATTTCTAATGTCAGATTTTTTTACTATTTTATTTTACTTATTTTTATTATTTTTACTATTTTTATATATAAAATCCGTGTTAAATTCTATTATATATATATATATATATATATATATATATATATATCATCTTCATCTTATCATCCTATCATCTTATCATCTTCAATACTACTAATGCTATTTAAAATAAAGTATATTTTTATAGTTACAATACTTTTCCAATTATTACTATAATTTTTCTACAATATTCTGTGATAAAACTTTCAAAATAATAAAGTAGAAAATAAAGAAGAATAACTTGTCACTTATATAAATTGCCCTACATAGAATATTTATGATAAGTATAATGCACAAAAGAATTGGAAATTAAAATTTATTTATAGAATACAAAGTTTTACTTAAATATTTTGAGTAATGAAGAAACAATTCTATGCTCTAGTGTTTTGGATATCAAGAATACATAACAATTTCTAAAAGATTATTATACATTGGCATTGTAGCTCATGAATGGGTTTTCCTACTTGTAGCAATTAAACACAATCAACCCAAATCTCATGAAATGGTAGACCTGTAGGTATCTACAATACTCTTCAAAGGTTGAAAGAATAGAACATGAGCTTGAACAACATTAAATCAAATATACTAAAACCGTGAACACCGTACGCGGATTTAGGCTGCAGCGCGGGATACGGGAACTCTACAGACGCGGAAATGGGGGGAGGGGTGAGGAGTTCACGGAATTGGGAGGAGAGGGGGAGGCGCGGGAGCACAGGCCAACGCTGCTCCAGCAGGGAGCCCAATTTCGAAGCCCGGCTGCACTGCCTTGGGGAGGGGGGTTGTGTTGTCGCGGAAGCCATCGTCGTCGTCGTCGTCTCGCCCCCCGATCGATCGTTCTGATTTCTCACTCGGAAGCCCCGCGCTTCTGCACTAATCGCTCCCGAACCAATCTTCAAACTTGCAAGAGGAGGGGGACAGACATGGCGGGAGCTCTGCGAGTACTTAGATCTCGCCACCTCTTTCAGCGCGTATGTGCTGCTTGTGCGGATCCTTCCACCTCCTATGCTCTGGTGGGCACTACTCCCTTGTGCGATTTCCTTTTCCACTCGTTGCTAAGATTTTTATTTTCTTTGGGTGATCGGAATTTTGCTTGTTACAGGTGAGTTCGATGAGCTTGGTAGTGAAAGCATAGTGGGTGTGAATTTTGGGTTTTGTGTGGCTGTGTTGTGGTTTCGTGAATTGGGCTCATGGTTAGTGCTTGAATTTTAGCGCCCGTTGTGGGTTGCCTGAGTTGGACCTCCAGCTAAGTGTTTCTTCCTTATTTGCGTTTGTAGCTGTTATATGATGGTTTTAAGTTGGGACGAGGAATTAGAACAAATTTGGTCTATCACCAGGGAGAATGCAGTTTTTTGGGAGGTGTGCTTTTGAGGTTCCTGCATGTAAGGTTGCCATTTCTCAATAGTTGGTTTCTCTTGGGTTGTCCTCGTTTTCAGGAGACTGTTACCATTCCCACGCCAGGTTACTTCCGCAACAACTCTGGCTCTGCTACAGAGCCAAAGAGAGGTATGAATTGGCACATTTTTTTAGCATCAACCGTGTGAATCATGTGTGATCTGTGTAAAATCCTTTATTTACAAGTGTGTAGCTAGAACTACTGCGCTTTACAGTAGCGGAGTCCAGAGCACACGGAGAGGTTTAGGGTTTAAGGATTCTTTTCCAGGTGAATCCCTTTTCAACGTTTGGTTCGCATGTCGGAAGTAGGCAGGCGGGTGAAGAAGGCAGCGAGGGTAATCGACCCTGACAACCCCAATTTGGACCATGAATACTCGAAACAGAGTCTAATACAAGCCGCAATCGACCAGATTGCTAAGAAGCATGGGAAGGAGACAGTTATGTGGCTTGGGCGGGAGAGTCGTGACTTTATTGATGTCGTTCCTACTGGCTCTCTAAACCTCGACATTGCTCTAGGTGTTGGCGGTCTGCCAAAGGTGAGTTCTTCGATGTCTTTTTAAAGTTGATATTTGAGCTCGTGCATTTTCCCGCGTCTAGTCATGTGCTCATTTCTAAAGTAATTGATGTAACTCACCTGCGTTCATGCGCCAGGGCCGGGTAGTGGAGATCTTTGGTCAAGAAGCCTCTGGGAAGACGACGATTGCTCTTCACGTGATTGCACAGGCCCAAAAAATGGGAAAAGGTGATTCCCATCTTGCATGAGATAATTGTTTCGGCCAGGGGTTGTCGGGTGCTTCGCAATAGATGAGAATGAAAGACTAGATTTGCTTCTGATTGCTCCAGCATCACTTGATCCCTTTCGACTTGGCATGTTCTATACTTTCCATGAAATTTGACAACATATGGATCGTGCCTAGTGCAGGACATTGCCTATTTGTGGATGCAGAGCATGCATTAGATATGCAATTTGCTGAAGGCATCGGTGTGAACACGAAAGATCTTTTGTTTGTTCAGCCAGATTATGCTGAGCAGGCCCTGGATACTGTCGATCACTTCGTTCGCTCTACTGGTGTCGATGTTATTGTTGTTGACAGCGTAACGTACAAACTTTCCAACTTTTTCCTTTTCTCAATCATATCATATGTGATGTTTACATTAACTCATATTTTGGTTCTACGTGGGGTTTCTGTTCCAGGGGGTAGGAATGCACAGAATAATATGGTGACCTTAATATTCGAGATTGGGGGTTTGTGGCAGGTTGCTGCACTTGTACCGAAAGCTGAACTTGAAGGAGACATGGGTGATTCTCAGATGGCTTTGCAGGCTCGCCTGATGAGCAAAGCGCTCCGCAGACTTACTCACTCTCTTAACTCCTCCAATTGTCTGCTTATCTTCATCAATCAGGTACTGACACAACGTACAAAAATTTGGCGCTTTTTTCAATGACATCTGTAATAGAAGGTTCTAACTCAATACGCTTTGATTCTGTAACTAGGAAATAGGTCTAATCAGCCATTGAATTGAATATGGATCACTATGGAGAAGTGGGAGGACAATGTTAGAGGTCAATCTGTAAAGATGTTGCGTTCTGTTGCAGACACGAGCAAAGCTCAATACGTATGGAGGTGGTGGACCAACAGCTGAGGTGACAGCTGGAGGAAATGCTCTTAAGTTCTATGCATCCGTGCGCTTACAAGTCAGGAAAAAAGAACAACTAAGACGTGGAGATGTGGTATTGTTCCTGTGCATTTATTTTTGTGCAAGGAACTTTTGCTTTAAGATCTGAGTGATACACCTCCGAATAGTGCTCCTTCTGACCACGAACCCTAATCGATATTAACATACGAATAAATGCCTTCTTGTTGCAGCCCTTTGGAAGTTCGGTTATTGTAAAAGTGGTGAAGAACAAAGTATCACCACCATTTAGGACTGCGGAATTCGATATTGAATATGGGAAAGGTATATCTCGTGATGGTGAAGTCCTCGATCTAGGTGTGAAGCATGGCTTGCTAGGGCAATCAGGTTCATGGTATTCGTACGAGGGTAAGAACTTCGCAAATGGAAGAGAAGGTGCGAAGAAGTACCTGCAAGAACACACAGATCTGACTGATGCTTTGGTGGTAGCAATCAAGGAGAAGATTTTAGGCCAACCACGTGCTAGTGGGGATTTGGACGACGATGGGTTCATTCAAGAGGAGGACGCTTTTGAAGCCGATGCTGATAATCTAGAGGTGACAGGGTAGGAGACAGCATAGTGTCGTTAAGTAATTCAATTTTCACAACTTCGAACTCAACCTGTTCAACAAAAGCATGGGTGACTAAGCAGCAGGTATTAGGGAGTTATTGCGTATCTTATGATATTCCTTTTGCTTAGGATGGTTGTGCGACCTTTCCTGCCTGACGAGCGCCATCAGCAAAAAGCTCGTCCATTTTGGTGTTAGCTTGCCACGTGATTCAGCACCAATGGCATGTTGTAGAACCTTTCGAGCCGCGTTTTGAAGGGAGATCTATGTGCTTAAGAGAATTATGGCGAGGATTCCTCCTGGTGAAGGTACCATTTTACATGTACAATGTCTCTACTTGTGCAGTTTTATGTGTCTCAGAAGCATGCTATTGCTTTAGCCACTGCTCTGATAAAGGTTGTAATTTTCTTATGCACCCTCTGAAAACGATTTTATAATTTGGCAAACTTTTTGTGCTGAGACTTGTCATACTCGATCAGAATTGTCAGAATTACTGACACAGAGATAATTGCAGAGTTTTCTGAGTATGAATCATTTTTGGGTAACCAATCTACCCCTCTTCAAAACTGTTCGCCCTACTCTCACCACAACATGCACAAGAATGTGCATCACGTCAGACACGTAGATGTCTGATATAGTAAAATAAAATTATGGTTCGCCACATCATAACTATGGTTTAGAATCACGTATATTTCAACTGGCTATCTCCACACATATGTGTTCTTCTGAAGTGTGGAGGATTGAAGTGAAACGTCACTAGTGTGAATAAATAAATGGATATGTGAATATATGTGTTTATATCTACTTACACAAAAAAATGGTTTCTGTCTATCTGTCTGTCCACAAAAATCACTGATTGGCTGAGGCATAAAATCAATTACATAGGGAGGGGCGCTCACCCATTTCCTAGTCCCCGTTCCCAGCCCCCGTCCCTGTCTTGACCCCCTCGTCCGCATCGTTTTATTTAACAGATCTTTCATTTATAATGTGTATGAATTTGGATAAATTAATGTAAATTGATTTAATATACTTGATTTATATGTGTGTTCATTCATCAATTTAAATTGTTGAGAAGGTTTACATTACCATAAAAACTTCATTCTCAACCAAAAACAATATTGTACAACTTTCAAAGATTGCAATACTTTTTGGTAAATTTTTTATAACACGTTCTCATCACAAACACACCTCTATTGTATACCATTATCAATGATTTAAGGTTATTGCAATGGTTATACAATCATTTAACTTGCTAACTGGGTTTGCTTGGAATGGGCAAGAAGAAGTGTGTCCTGACTAATTCTTTGGAGTTAAGAGTAAGAAATATCATCTAACATAACCTTGGTATAGTTTACCAAATTTCATTTTTCCATTGTTGGGATTTGGCTCAACTATATTCAAAGGTATATAAATCCTTATTCTTTTTATTCTTTTTATTCTTTTTTTTTTTCCATCTTTTTCATGTACTTTTTAAAAAATTTAAAAATACTAAAATGGCATCAAAATTAGGTTTTGCTGTTATGATTTTGTCTTTTTTTTTTTTTTTTTTTTTTTTTTTAAAATTTTTTTTTAATGTTTTTAATTTTAATTTTAATTTTTTTTGTTTTGTTTTTTGTTTTTTGAGTTTTTTTTTCTGTTTTTTTTCCTGTTTTTTTTCTGTTTTTTTTTCTGTTTTTTTTTTTTTTTTTTTGTGAATGAGTTTTTAATAAAAAAGAATGGTAAGAACCATAGTCTTTCTCAAGAAAATGTCCAATGTGATAGAAAAATCATATAAATTGTTTTGCAATGTTTGAAAAGAATTTACAGTAAGATAAGAAATGATTCAAGCTTTGACAAAATTGGTGATTTTTTTGTAAATTTTTTCTTGTGTTTATAAATATTATTTTAATATATTTATTCATTATTATCATTAATTATTAAATAAGTAATAATCTAATATTTGTTTTAAAATCTTGACAGAAAAAAATATCACCTAACAACTTACTATGGGAATAAGGAAGAGCACACACTAATCAAAGACTTTGATTCAAGTAGTAGAAATAAAAAAGACAATAGTCGACAAAGTAAGACACCAATTGAAGCAATAAAAAATGAATCCTCACATCTAAGAGCTATATTAGAAGGAAAAAAAACCAAACGTCAAATTATCATTAAAAAATGATTCTAAAGGACCACTTTATTAAGACTTCTTATCATTCTTTAAGTATTTTTACCATGTGTTTGAATGTTAACTGTTGTGAATGTCATGAAACTTTTTGAAATTCTGAATTTTTTTTAATATTAGTTGGATTAATGATTTTACAACAAAATTTTAAAAAACTCATTTCAAAGCAAAAAATTACATTTTAAGATATATCCAACATCCATCGAATTAAAAACATTATATATATTTTTATAGAGAAAAAATAATACAAAATCATATAACCTAATTATATTCATAATAATCATAAATTAGACTTAGGAGTTAGGGAATAAGTAGAAGCAAATAAATTTACTTTAGAAAGAGGTTTAATAACTTGACAAAGTAAACTTTGAGCTTGAAATCATAATATTTTATGGAATAAAAATATTAAATATTAAGTGATAGTGTGAATTATTTTTTGATCAAACCAAATTTAAAAATTAAAAATTAAAACTAAATTTATCTATACTTGCTTTTATAACATTGGTTGGTTTCATCAGGATCTTGTAACAAAAACAAACTCTCATCTATATATAAGTTACAACAACCAAAGATCTATTAAGTATGGCACAAAATCAACTTATTTATTTACAATAACCAAATATAACTGAATTAGATATATAATTAGTTTCAAGACTTGAAAATTAATGCAATTAAGATCTAATTATATTCTAATTTTTGCCCAACTAACTACTAGATTAAAACTTTCTCATAAAACTACTAGATTAAATTAAATTAATAATTACAAATACAAATTAGATGTTTAAAATTTGATTTGTCAAAAACTATAAATCAATGAAAATGGAACATGTTTAAGATAAAATTGTTAGTATCATTGTAATTTATTCTTGCAAGGAAAAGAAAAGGATAAAGTTTTTGTATATGCAAGGACAAATTGGTGATGGTAATCAACTATGGTTAATGTTACAAAGTCAATTATAACAAGGTTGGATGGCTCAATGATCTGCCTGCAAAACACAATTTTATGGACTTCAATCAATTATTATGTTTCAATCCAGCATATTAAAACCATGTAAATATAAAATATTATACTTGTGATTCCTGAAAAAAATTACAACATAATAATATGTTGCATTTAATTATCAAAATTTTAAAAATAAATAGAAGATTGAACATTTCATTTTATTCTATAAAATGATATCCAAGAATTTTTTTAGGTGCATTATATTACTATGTTAAATATTACAATTAAATATTACAATTAAATATTTAAGTTTTATTTTTTAATTTATTATTGAGAAACTATTCTTTGAACCTCATACGTGTAGATAATGTTAGTCTTGTAAACAAATTTTATGATGTCAAAAACCACATCAAAAAACTAAAAAAAATTAATAAGTGGGTAACAGGTTTTGGTGGTAATAGAAAAAAAACCTGGTGACATTAATAACACCCTTTCTATATAGCTTTTTAATTTTTAATCAAATTATCAAAAAATATCATGCAAGACTATTTTTAGAATCAATGCTTGAAATTGTAGAATCAGTATAGATGATGAGTGGTTAAAGATAATAACTTAAAAGAATAATAAGATTTGTGTAATAGAGTGCTTTTTCACAGATTCTTAAATATAAGTAATACATTGCATATTATTTATATTCATTACGTATGAAGAAGCATGCACAATTCGAAGTATTGGATATTGAAGGTTCTAAGTTTGAGCATTAAGTATTTTATGTGTTTCAAATTCAAATATATTTTTGTTTCTTTTCATGCTAAGACATTACCAACATACTGCTTGGAAAATGTATCAAATGAAGTTAATTTCACTGTTAAAATGAATCACAACATTTTAAAAGATTGAAATCACATGCTTATACAATATGAGAATGTGATTCCATGTACAGCCCTCTTGTACCCGTATTAACGGAAGTTGAATACAACAGTATCCTGTTGCATCAAATAACAAGAAAGAGAACTAACAAAGTGGACTGCATTCCCATCAAGCAGGTCTATATATAAACGTTCAATTTGATACCACACGCTTCATACAATTATCCATACAGTACATGGACATCCACACTTATCCCTAGAAAGACTGAGAAACGGAAGATATGTGAACCTGTTTAATTCCAATACTCACGTTCCTGTACAATTGCGTATGGTTTGATTGATTTTTGATGAAAACTGACCAATCACTCAAGAAACAGAGCCACCCTCTTGCTTGACACTCTACAGTCAACGTAAATAATTTTTCTTCTGCATCATCTGTCAGAATTCAAAGAATCCAATATATATTGAGCTGTCCTCTTAGAAACGCCGGGTTTTCCAAGTAAGGGCATTAGCTTGGTGTAACCATCCAAAACCATGTTCCTATATTTTGAATCTGTCAACGACAAAAGATCAAAGGCAGAATTCGCCACTTTCACTGGATCCGCAGCATCTTGTATGAACTCTGGTACCACCTGGCATCATGTCCCAAACGTTACAAAATGATGTAGATACTACGAGGCCTAACAATGCTGAACGACAGATGAAGTTAGTCTACAACACATGACAATGATTGAATACACAAGGCATGCCCAGCACGCGTTCAACATGTTTCATCTTTGAGTGACATCTACCTGCTCGTCAAGGATCAGATTAATCAGGGATATGTATTTCACAGATAACTTAAAAATGTTCCGTGCAATCCATGCTGTCGCTTTGTCCAATTTATAAACCACCACTTGGGGTACCTGTTTGTCTCAGTCCGGCACATTGTAATGAGATTTTGAACATCCAATTTTGTAGACACATAGTGGTGAGCTGTATGAATCGCACACGAGGTTGGAGATTTTGAGCTGCCTCACACCCACTACCCCTGGTGATCGCTATTAGATCAGTAAAAACTTGAAAGCAAATCCATAAGGTCAAGTACGAGCTCTCTACTGCTGCATAGAGCGTGTGAACAGTGTCTGTTACCACTAGGAGAAAAACAGAGACAAAAACAAGTACAAAACTTACACTGTGGAGAGTTAGCTCCAGGTTCACACTGCCTGACTTTGTAATTGCCAGATCTGCAGCAGACATTAATATCTTGGTATCTCCCTGCACAACAATTCACAGCAAGGTCTTTCAATATTCGTTTTCAATATTCATGCAAATGCGGAGGTTTCACCTATAACCTGACACTGTAAAATTTTCATTACAAGAAAGTTACCAAAACACTTGGAATAATGTACGAGCATGCCTATTCAATACTCAACAAACCCAGCTTTGACACCTTGACTATTGAGGTTTAAATTAGAAAAGATTGAAAAAAACTAGCCTCCTAAATTGATTAGAATGCAGCACCAATGCAGTGATGGTAGTAAAGATGACGATCACTAACGTGCCAAAGAGACGCATAGCCAGTGAGACCAAACTCTTCAAAGCTTTGCTCAAGAATATGCTCTCCATTTGGTAAAACGGATGGAACGATGAAATGCAAGCGATGTTGTCTGTTCATCACAAGCAGTAACAGTACTTAAGGGCCCAACATATGCATATGGTTTCTGTTTTAAGCTGAGCAGATGCGAACTTAACTGAAGTTGATAAAGGGATTGTATACATGACTACAAGAAATTCGAAAATATCCAGGTTGAGTATGAGATGATGGGAAGTTCATAATTCCCTACCCTTTCAAAGCAAGAATGCGGTGCAACAAAAGTCTCGCTGCTGATGCAATAATGGGCCAAACGTGTCTCAATTCCTGAGCTCGTGATGCTGGCATCAGTAGAATCACTAGGTCTTTTTCACCATACCCAAGAGCCTCCCTCGCCTACACAATCCCAAGACATTGAATGAATAATTGGAATAGTTCCTAAAGTTAACTGGACCCAGCCAAATTGCAGGAATAAAGATTCAGTGTACATTAATACTTAACACATAACATGTGGCATTCAGTACACTAACAGATTGGTTGAAGTAACACCTCGGTTCGAGTTCGAGTTGGAGAGTAGTAGTCAAGTAAAGGATGACCCACTTCTACAACATGTCCACCAGCCTTGCGAAAGTAATCCGCCTGCCCATACCAAAGAAAACCAGCAACTTGCTTAAAGTTCCTTCGGTTTTCTTATATTTGATCATCTTAACTTCTCACCGAAATAACTGTGATTTTCCCATGTAAAAATAAAACACAAGAAAAAGAAAGTCCCCATTCCTGTCTTGGCAAGTCCAATTTTTGACATGTTAAAATACCTATTGATACACATAACCCACCTCGGCAGGGTAGACCGAGAGAATCGTATCGCAAGCGTCAGTAATAGCTCCAGTTCGTGACGTGTTCCATAGCCATTCATTAGGCGGAATATAATAAACAACCTTACATCCTGCAGTAATCATTCTTCAACATATAAACCTTCGATGGCGAGCCTTTAAACCTAACTACACTATGACGTGGCACATGGACATAATGTGCGACTGAAAGATCGAGCAGTGGCAATGAAAAACTGGGAATTTAAGGATAATGCTAACATTACTATACCAATGAACTTGGTGTAATTCTCTTACCGAATTCTTTCTTGACATACTTTCCGAAAGGTATATTGATCCCTGGATAATCCATCAACACCTGCAGCCGAAAGCTCGAATACATTCAGGTACGTAGCATTAACATAACATCTGCAAGTTTCTATTTAACTTTCTCATTGCCAAAGAGCACAACTTGGAGTAAACAACACACAGACGAGGGATCAACTAAATAGACATCCCAAGTAAATAATGCGAGAAATGGGAAAAATGCAATCTCAGTAACGCTATTCAAATAATAGAAAGAACCTTCGACGGAGGACAGTCTTTGTCCTTAGATTGAATTGAAGGTCACATGAGAAAACACGAAGAGTCAGATAGGCATACCACTATGTCGGGAGGATTGCTTTTTAAAAACTTGCGTACATTCGCCTGAATTCGCAAGGCAGGTATTATAAGCGGAAGTGCTTCTAGCAGTCCGATGGAACTTATTCCAGTATTATCCCCTGCAACGAGTTCAAGTTCTCTTAAATTAGCTCTGCTAAGTATCTTACTTAGCATGATAAGAGCTAACATATTACAAATCGCATGCAGAATACAAACTAAGACCTTTTACTTGAGTAGTTTCCCTACTATGTCACTTCCAAACTATTCCGATCGAGAAATACTTTGGTACGAGTTTGCAAAACCTCTATCAAAGAAGGAATCAACAAGGTTTAGGGTTTAGGGTTTGGGTTCACATCAAGCTAGAAATCACTAGAGAATCACTCGTGTTCCAGAAAGCAAGCAGATTAGATATTCCTTATTTCATGTGCACATAAATGTAGGAAGTGGACTCAAGCACCACCCACCAATCATAACAGCTCCTGCATCCTTCATCCGCTTGCCTCCCATTGCGTAAACCTCGACTTCAACTTTCTCCGCTCCAGCTGCGTCAATGAGAGCACGGACGAGAGCAGCGCCATGAATATCACCCATCACGTCGCCTGTGCTAACCTGCACAACTGACGACCAGGATAGTGAGCTTAATTGTAATGTAAATAATTCGATGACAAATCAATGACGTTCAAAGAATTTGAACTTGGGGGCTATTTGTTCGACAAAACCAGATCAACCTCCCGTTGCCTTACACTTTTTTGGCAAGTTCACATGGAGGCAGTCGCTCTTGATTCGGAAATTCATGGCATTCCCTTGCTAGACTTTAAATTCCTAAAACGCCACGCTCTCTACAGAGAGCAGAGCTCCGGGTCAACCTCATCACATGTGCTGGTCGAAAGGCTTGAATACCTAAATCCTAATCTCCCATGTACTAGTGACGAGGACGAATTTTCTTCTTGCATTCTAGTGCCCATAAAACATCGTTCGAGATCTCATGCTCTACAAACACACTCGGAACAGAATTCACAAACATATGCCAAGAAGTAGACTAGAATCGACGACTATCATACCAGAATGCGTAACGGCTTCGGCTGTGCCTCAGGGACAGCAACAAATTTTCCCTCCACTGCAGATGCCACAACACCTTGCTGACCTTGTCGCGGCTGCATTTGAAATCCATTGCTCCACGTTGTATCACCTCCTAAACTCAGAAATCTACCGACCTGGCGAATCCTCGCAATCCTTAAACCGTCCACCGTGTTAAGTGATTGCCTTCTCCCGGCGGCGACTGAAGTAGTCTGTTTGAAACCCAATGTGGGAACTCTACACAAGGCCATCCTCAGCCCAATCCTTCTGGATCACAATGCAGTAACCAAAATGCATGAAAGCAGTGGAAGATGTAGGTGTTAGAAAAGCATCACCAACTCATCGTGGAATGAACCAATGATGAGAAGGCGGTATCTATCTTAGTGAACAAGCACGTGCAAATTGCCTCCGAGAAAAAGGAAAAAAAGGAGAGCACAACTTGCGACCGCGTCATATTTCAGGGTTTCAAATGCGATTCTAAGAATATCAGGAGAGACTGAAAACATTTGTTCTACATCCAAGTGGAGTCTGAATTCTCTGGAGTGTGGACGTTATACCCCTCAATCCTTCGGAAGTTTTAAATGATCGTTGAAGGCGTCGTTGATTCCATGACCTAATCTGACATCATAATTTGGGCTTTTAAAACCAAACTCTCTACATATGTTCGAAAATCCTGCCCGTAATCCAGCACTACGGGCTGAAGCGATTGAATTTGTAATAGAACTTGAAAGAATGTATGTTTCTAGCTCGAACTTGCAGAATGAATCAAACTATGGACAACACAACGAAGGATCGACACTGACTTTAACTGAGACAAAGTAGAATATATTTCAATTTAAAGACTAACGCCTGAGGTGGACAGAATAGTTGATGATTATGAAGAAAGATTCAAGAGCTGTAACGGCAACGAATAAGGTCAGGGACAAACACAAACACTGAACCTCTTGTAAATCGGGGATGCGGAAGTGTAACAAAACCCCTGAGGAGCATGAATCATATGTGTGTATATGTTTTAAAAAAAAACCACATTATTTTGATGGATTTCCGGATTAATCTTGCATTTCAGATAGAGCTAAATCAACGAAATTCTACACATATTCTACAAATTACGTGAGAATAATCTCCACCATGATCGCTTTGGACGACGACATGAAAAAGGAACCCTCCAATTCTCAACAATCCTGGGTCTTTCATCACGCGTAAAGGGCTTTAAACCATTATGAACGCGCCAATCATCAAGCGCAAGTTGGAGATCCGTGAGTTTATTGATTAGGCCGCCTTTGCAACAGTTCGCGTGCATGGTAACCACCTGTTTGATGTCCTTGCTTACCTGCACGAACGCGAGGACAAGGATTGTCTTGAAACTCAGCAATTGTTGACAGCAATGGATAAGATTCATGACAACACTAATCACTTATTCTCAGATTCATGTTGTATCCACAGAAACATTTCAGGATTCGTTGGCCTTCTGTCTTGTGTTGACGATTTGACAGCTAGCTTGGTCAATCCAAGCACTTGGTGAAGCATATAGAGTACACCATGAAGATGCTCACTGACATACCTGACAGAAGCCTGAAAAGTAAAGTGTCTCCAGAAATCGAATCTTGACTCCCAATCGCTCAAAACATTGCTCCCGAAGGACAATGCCTAGGACGTCCTGGTCATGTTTTCCAGGGACTCTCAATCTGGCTGCATACCAATACCTATACATTGCAATGGTCTGTTTGCTAGAGCGAACGTAAACAAACCCTCCATTTGGTGCATTCGTCATCACATCAGAAGAACCGCCGGAGTACTTGTCACATGCAATTTGAAAATCTTTGTCATCGGAAAAAATAGCGAAGGGGTCACGAAACCAGAGAATGTCTGCGTCCTGTGGAAACACACACTTATGTCAGGCCACCATGAAGTATGTCTGAAATTCAATTAGGGGAGGGGGGATAGGGGGGTTGCTAATACTTTGCACTTTCATGACCTTGACGTAATTCGTGCTAGAGATGTGGATTTAAAAGCAGCGCATTGTGCGAGGTGGGCAGGAAAAAGTTTCTGACTGAGAAAACAAAGCTGTATCCCATCTCAAGCACACCCGCAAGGAACTCGATCCTCCTCCACATCATCTTCAGGTAATCCTCGGTCATAAATTTCTTCTCCGCAGAATAATCAACTCCATCTGTCCGTAATCTGAAGCAGTGAGGATGCAGATGCACACATCGTTCATGAGCCTTCTGGTCCAGTGTGACGATCACCACGTGGTTAAGCAAATGGGTGATATTCTCCCCGCGGCGGAAGCTAAGAAGGAAGAGGTCTATCATGGTACCCTCTGCTGCCCATGCCTCATTCAGAGTCGTTATAATGACTGTTTTGTTCGGCATGGAGGCTCGAGCGAAAATGCTTCGTAACTCCTTCAACTCCCCTTCCGTCTGTTTGTCAAAGTATACAACATTCAAGAAGTTAAGGTCCTGCAAAGGCAAACTGTTAACCTACAGTGGAGTTCATTTTGAAACAGACCACCCTTTTTCAAATCAAGATACTAAAAAGACATACCCAGATCGGATCCAAAAGACTCTTCAACATCGGAAGTCATGGATTCTGGTGTTTATAATCTCCGCTTTTATCAAAAGTTACCTAAACAAATTTATGATAATTCCCCGAGTAACGCAAAAGCTAAGGTGAGATAGCGCATCAGCAACATTTTACAGGAATCTTGAAGAGTTGGGACGAAGATGAGACACATTATACAAGACAACAGACGTGAAAACGGTAATGCCACACTGTAAACTTTGAAATGAGATTATCAAAAGGGATCAGTAAATTACGAGAAAATTCGCCAGCTTGATTGAGTCGTTGCATCGTAGAGACGAGGTACTGGAATTTGAAATCATGGATTGAAGGTTCTGGACTGATAAATTCTCAAATTCAAGGAAATATGGCAGGCCGACAAATACAATTATCATGAACGCGATGAGCAGCTGACTCACTCTAATTTTTCCTGCCATGTTTCTCCGGAACTACCTCCCGTGTCTATTGACCTGTGACTAATCTATGAAGTCCCACTGCCAAATTCTCAAAACGCCTAAAACACTTAGGATCGTCAGAATCAACCTGCCTTTAATCCTTCCAAATTTGAGGTGATTGAGGGGCGCCCCGAAAGAAAAGTCTACACCAGAGTCTCCGAAAGCAACTCCGAGTCAAAGCAGGCAAACGCACACCGGCACCTCATTGATGATGCGTCTCAAATATCGGACTCTAGGTGGTCCCACAGAACACTCCACTCTCGTCACAACTAACCAGATTGGTAGGGAGACTTCACCGCGTGGGGGCAATTGCTCAAGAAACGAAGCAACTATCCATCGATCCCCTTCTACCAACCTCAACAAGATCAGCAAACTCATCGCATCCCGACGACGCTCGGTGTAAACCAACCACATTCTCTCAGCTTTATTGCGACACCGAGATGGTGAAGTGGCAAGGATAGCTCCCCCGGAGCTTGCTTCTTCATCCTCCTCCGAGGAAGTTGGCGCCATTGTCAATTCCGGTGAAGCTCTAGGGTGTGCTCACGCTACCCACTCCCTTTCCTTACTTTCTCTTCGAGACACTATTCTCTCTGTAACCGGGATTGTTCTGGTAGCAAGCGAGAGGACTGATCCTCCCGAGTGAATTGCCCCCATGAGTTAGTGCCACCTCGCTCCGTGATTGCATCAGCAGGTAAACTTTACGCACTTTACTTCGCTGTAGCAGTTTGAAAAGTCTTCGTTCCGGATCGACACTTCCCAGTTTCAGCCACGCACCGGGAAATCTCTTAAAGCGTGTAACGGAGGAAAAAAACAACAAAATATATATGAATCAGGTGAAACATATTTCTTCCTTGAAGCACAAGGTGAATCTCAGCGAATGCAGCAGATTCAGAGCTCCACATGTGCTAGAGAAACCTCGTTTCCTGGCTACGCCCTTGTGTGCCGCCAACCACCATTTCAACGCACATTTTTATACGTTAAGTGAATAAATAAATAAATAACACACAAAATTGACGAGGAGAAAGCACCATGGAACAACAGCAGAGGTTCACGGACGTGTGTGTCTCAAAAGGAATCAGTCCACAGTATCAATTGTTTGTTTCTACGTCAATTGAGAGTCAAAAAACAGACAGCTGGGTTTGGCTTTACTATTATAATTTTATACTTCTTTCTTCCACACACCCATGTAGAAAGCCATTCTCTGCGTTTTCGCCTTGGAGGATGAATGTACGTTGATGAATGAATTCCGACACCAGTGACTGGCCATGGGTGATGAGAATGTTATATATGTATTGATTTTAACTGTTGGTAAAAGCGCACATTGTATGCAACAGCTCGGAGAGTGATGAGTTTCCACAAGTGCCAAATTTTCAACTCAGAATTCATATAAAGTTGTGATATTGGCTCTCTTATTACAACGCTGCCATTATTGTCTCTGACACTTTCTCTATCTGCTGAAGACCCAAAAAATGTGCCATGATAATAATAAATTAAAATGTTCACAGAGTTGGATGACATTCACGAGTATGAGCACGGGGTTGTGTTTGTGAGAGTGCTACCATGGGACCACATCGCCAAACCAAAAAGAGGGGGGTCTTATTCAATTAAACACACACGCAGTTCACACTGCCAACACCCACAAAGGCACATCCAGAAGCTTCTCTATTTTTGATAAGGATCCATCTCAGGTTTATTCTGAATACCAAAACTTTAAATCATCATACCATATAGTAATAGATAGTTATGAGTGGAAATATACCATATAGATATAAATATATCTTATACCATATAGATATAAATATATCTTATACCATATAGATATAAATATATCTTATACCATATAGATATAAATATATCTTATACCATATAGATATAAATATCCATCAATATAAATAGCTCCGAATATTGAATTCGGTCAGAGTCGCATCTTTTCCCATATAATTTTAAATACTTCCTAGCAGACAAAACACTCAATATTGTATATTATTTTAATGCAAAAAATAATCTTTCTTTTTACCATATATCCACAGATACTTCTCCATATCAACAGCTCCAAAAGTTACTTACTATATTTAAACCATGAAGTTATGATAGTATCATTTGACTTCCAAAATAGCTATTTTTTAAAAATTAATTCAATTTTGGAAGCAAAACGTGTTTCTCACCGATTATTTTTTCATGGTTAATAAATAAATAAAAAAACCTGAATCTAAATTTTCTATATGGTATGATACCTTTGTGATGTTTAAAAATTTTTAGAAAAAAAATCTAGAGTCATTTAACTTATCACATTGGTCTTTAATTATTGTAATCTACAAGTCATAAATTTATATTTTGTAAAATAAAGACTACAAAATCTTCATATTTAATTTTTGACTTAGACATATAATTGAGAATTCTTCTTTTAAAACATTTAAGTATTCCAAAGCTTGTTTACATCTTCTTTAGTGGCATTTCCAAAAACGTTTGCATATTTTGGTTGTGAGTTTTATTATAGTTTATAATATTTTAGTCTACTATGTTAAGCTTTGAAACATTTCAGGTTAAAAAAATTTAAAAAAACTACAAAAAGATATAAAACGAAGCATCTATAAACTACATTAGAAATTTATTATAGTTATTTATTATAGAAATAAAAAAAAATTGTTTATTTTATTTTATTTCAAAATTTTATTTGATAAATTTCTTCATCGAGACAAGATAACAAAAGATTGGTAAAACAAGTATTTAAAGGTGGAGAATGATTTCATAATAGTTTTTTTGATCCAAACAACTTCTAATAGAAGATCCTATGGCCAATTAGTGCATCTAAGGGTATTCGAAGATTTAACTAGAATTTAAAAAGATTTTATGATATTTAAAAAATAAAAAATTATGATTTTTATTTTTTTCAAAAAATATAATTTACTTTTACTTATTTAAGTAATTATAAGTATGTATCAATGTCTGCTTAGTTTTAGGAATATAATATATTAAGTGTGGTGATTTTTTAAATTATGTAGAATAGGTAAATAAACTTTGTGGTAAGTTACTGGTTGGTTATTGATAACCTTGAGAATTAGACTAATAGTTAGGTAGTTTAGTTGGTAACAATAGGTTGTTAGTGGAATAAATGGTTAAGGATTCAAAGGGTCATAACCTTTGGAATCCGCTGGCTGATGGATCATCTTTTTGGTAGGATAAATAGATTGAGAGTCTTAAGTCAAGAGCCAGACTGTGAGAGTCATAAGCCGGGGTAAGCTTGGTGCTACCTCTTTGTTTTCTTTGCTTTTATTATTTGCTTATGAAGAATTGTGATTAAGAGAAGTATTGTTGAATTGATAGTCATAGAATGGATTATATGTTGAATTAAAATAGAAGTAGTAAGCCTTGGTATTTTGTAGTTTGATAATTGATTTCAGATAGCTAGAGTACAATCAATTGTGACACTAACAGACCCAATTCATATAACCAGTCTTTCCCCGTGTTCGAACCCACCTCTATTAATTCAATAGCTTTGATATAGTAAAGCTTGAATGTAACGAGAACAACATTTTGCCTTCCTAACCCATTTTAGACCAATTAGATTTGAAGATTGGCTTTGAGAAAGTTTTATAAATAGCAGGATGTTTGCGGGGGAATCAATAGAGTCTTATTATGGCCGGATCACAGATATACTTCGTAAATGGTCAAATAATCAAATGCCAAATGCGTTTATATTGTCGATATTAATTAACGCTTTGCATCCACCAGAATTGAAAATGTTTGTAAAAGAGACTCGACCAGCTACGGTAGAGGCATTGTTGGCACGAGCAAAGGTGTGGAAAGAATGTCATTATGAGCAATTGTTAACAGTGGAGGCCACAATGATTCAAAGTTCAGGAAGCCAATAAATACAACCAGAAAATGTGTCGATGGATAATTATCCACAAATGACTGCCTCCAATGTGAAGAATGTTATGTTGCGAAAACCAATTAATGCTACACCACTCCAAGCAATAGCACCAATAACAATGACACCTTATTTTACATTGTCAACCTATCAACAATTGGAGTTGTTCACAAATGCGACTGTTAAAGATCCAAATGAAGCCTTATTATTAAATCTAACAAAGAAGATGGAAGAATTGGCCGTGAATTTGGCTAAAGATAAGGAGAAACGACATAAGCCTTCTAATACGAGACCTAATGTATGGTGTAATAATTGTAAGGGACAAGGTTATTTTGATATGGAATATCCATCACCTAGACAAACGGGTGTTCAATGTACATTTTGTGGAGGAAAGTACCTTATCCAAAACTGCTAGCATTTACAAAGGCAACAATAATTTAGTAATCAAACCATGATCCCACCGACTCAGTGGAAAGTCAATCAAGTTCAAATGAGAAATACGTATGGATGGAATAGAAATCGATCTAATCGACAAAATTGAACATTCAATAATTTTCAAAGTTCCAATTTTAATCAGAGGTCTGTATCAAACCCCCAAAACTACAGGAAGGAGCAGCAGAGGTATCAACAATATGCTCCACCAACATCATCGAACCAAGTATCCTCCGTACAAACGAGACAACCAAGATCATTTTCTAACTCTACATAGAACAAGCCTAGTAGGTATATACCGGTGGAGACACCCAATATGTTGGATGGAAGTGCAAGAAGACCACTTCGTTGTTTCCATTGTAGACAGATTAGTCATTATGCTAATGAATGTCTCAATCCCAGAGCCAATGATGATTATGCGCCAATGTGTACAAATTGCAAGCAGTTTGGACATACTTATCAGCAATGTAATGCTCCGTTCAATTTCAATAATCAAGATCAGTAGATCCAAAGCCAAAGAAAAATGGAGGAGATAAATCAAGGTCCTCAAGATTCACCAGTTCATCGGGTAGAAGTAGTCCAAGCTGTCCTTACAAGAAGTTAGCAAAAGGGGAAAGGACTAATTCAACATTTGGGTGGTCTTGAAGCGAAGAACCAATTGGACCCGATTATGGGGACATCCAATCCAGGTCTTGATATGGATCACTTACTCAGTATAATACCTGAATCGATTGTGCATCCCAATGAGGTCCTGATTACGAAGGCTTTGGTTTCTTGTCGAGCTGTTTTGTTCTCTATATAGTTTCAAAAAACGTCCTTTCCGTTGAAAAATCTTCTCAAAGGAGTGAATTCCAAGGAACGAATATCAGCCCAATTGAGAGAACAATCTTATTCGTTGAAAGAACCAATTTTACAGGCTCCATCAAACTTAGTTCCAGTAGCTTTACCAATTTATAATATAGAGAAAACCAATTTACCTGCATAGATGTTTAGGACTGAGAAGAAGAAACGGACATTGGGAATTACCACTAATATAGAATCATATGATATTCTAAAAGATTTGGGTACCATATAGTCCACGATCTCTATGAAGCAACTATTGGCGGTAGCACCTGAGTGCTGAACTATCTTGAATTTCTCATTAATTTGTTACAGATTTTGAAATAAAGAAATCCGATTAGTAAGTTTGAATCCCAATCTGGGTGCACCAACAATTGATGTCTCAATTGATGGAGTGATATTATCGAAAGTGCAAGTAGACAGAGGATCTAGTGTAAATCTTATGAATGCTGCTACAATGGAGGAGCTGGGTTTGAATCACTTATTGCTTACTATAGTAGTTTTGAGAATGG